CCACCGGAGCAGGAGGAGAAGCTGCTCTGCTGGGAGGGTGGCAGAGCCTGGCCCAGGCTGCCCAGAGAGGCTGTGGAGTCTCCTGCTCTGGAGAGATCCCAAACCCTCCTGGCTGTGCCCCTGGGCACCCTGCTGGGGGTGAGCTGCTGGAGCAGGGGTGGGATGGGATGATCCCCAGAGGTCCCTCCCAGCCCCACCACGCTGGGATCCTGTGCAAAAGGTCTCTGTTTCTGAGCACTGGTGTTTGTTTCTGGGACACACGACCTGGAGGTGTGGGTTTAGAGCTCTCCATCTGTTAGGCAATTTGGTGCAAACAATTTGTCCCCCAGCCTCTCCTGCCGTGCTCAGCAGCTCCTTTTGTTCTCTCCTGGGGACAAGGTCCTGGTTGGAGATGTAGCTCTCTGCCTGGGTGACCTCCTGGGTGTACACTCCACCCACGGCTGGTCTGCTGCTGAATAAAAGGCTTCAGATACTCTGTTGCTACCAGCAAAGAAGGAATGTGTTTTTTTTCCCTGAGAATAGCAGCAGGATGGAGATCTTCCCAGAACCCTCTAAAGAACAATAAGTGTCAGTGTCATGTCTTGTTTTAATGCTCCCTCTTTCCCCTAGGACAGGAGACTTGCAGGTTCCCTTCCAGGCTTTGTGCTGCTGATATTTTCACAAGCCTCTGCCTCAGAGGACAGTGGTGAAGGAAGGAACAGGCTGCACAAAAGCACGTTGTGTTGGCAGCTTTCCATGCCTGACTTGGCTCAGACTTTACTTTTCTGTCAGCTCAGGCCTTGGATTTTGTTGCCTGGCTGTGATCCTCCAAAATCAGTATCAGGCTACTGCTGTCAGTGAGAATTGCCCCGTTGAAAGGTTTTCCTCAAAGCCCAAGGACAGGGCCCTTTGGGTTAGAAGCCACAGAGGCAGTGACCCCAGCTGCTGAAGGATGGGGAAAAAGGGTCTCATGGTGGTGGAAAAAGTCCTGACACTGGGGAAGGGAGATGGCTCCTGCACTGATCTCATGGGACCTCATACCTGCACTCACAGCCTGGCAGCCTGGGCTGCCCCCCCAGCAGCGTGGGCACAGGGCAGGGAGGGGATCCTGCCCCTCTGCCAGCTCTGGGAGACCCCCCTGCAGTGCTGGGGCAGCTCTGGAGTCC